TTCCTAATTCTCCTGTTTCTGTACTATCCTCTGTGTGAATCTTCATTTGCCACGCTATTATGATTAGACTTTTGCGCGAACAATCTATATCAAGAAAACAAGATTGCTGGCGCAATGGTGAAATGAAAGTTTCAGTTTGATTGTGTAGTTGAAATAAAATTATACATATTGTTCTTTTCGTGTACACATATTATTATTTTCATAACTTTGTATCTGAGAAAAATACGGGAGATGAATATATGGCTTTCATACTTTTTTGTCGAAATTATTGTGTATGTCTCGATAAGTTTGGGATATTATGCATGATATTCTTATTTTTTATTATGCTTTAAAAAGAACTTTCATTTCTGCATACTGTTATAAGTGTTAGTGATATTGAAAGGCTGGCTCGAAGAAGCTAATGCAGAAATATACTTTCTGGGAATGTAAAGATTAGAAATTTGTTTCAAGCTTGTTTTTCAAATTTTATCAAGTCAAGCTTAAATGACTGTATGTTCTAAGAATTTTAATAGTTCTCAGAAAATTGAAATCCGGGCAAGTATCTGGAATCGAATAATATCAGAAGAATTTTGCAATTTTTCACACCTTACATATATATAGAAATTACACATATATAGAAATAAATACCAGATCCAATATTTCATATCACTATGTTCTTAAATTTAATTTAATATTATATTTTATAGATAATTTTTAATATTTATTAAGAACAAATTTATCTGAATACGTATGTTTTTGTATTAGAAATGTTTCTTTCTATTATAAAATTTATTTTTAATAAATATATAAAAAACTGAAACCATTTTAAAAATATGTAAACATATGTAACAATATTTCTTATTTTCAATTTACCATAAGCACAATTTTTTAAATTTTAGCTATTTGATAGAAAGAATAATATTATCAATCTTCTATAATTTTCTTTGATGTAAGAAATATTTTGTAATTAAAGTAGAAACAAAAAAGAAATTAGAATTATGCGATTCTGCTGACAAACATGGATCGATCGACCCAGTCAAGTCAGCGTCGGGATACAACCACAAGCTAGCGTGCATAAAGACAAACGCAGAGGGTGTCGGTTGATACTTGTTTTCTGTTTTTGTTATTGCAGGCTGTTGATTTGCTTTATCGGTGTCTGGCCCCGCATGGCTCCACTAAACCTGTAAGGCATGATTTCTTTTAGACACTTAAACGCCACCTTTTCTTACGGGGTCTATGATTCTTACTCTAGATATTGTCAATGTTTTTCTTTTTTAGACCAAACTCGAAGAGGACTTTGTTAATTCGGAGGAGCTGCGGAATTTAGAGTCGACGCTGGTGGTTAATTCTACCATCGCTGGCAACAGTAGTAGCAACAGTAGCAGCGGCTCATCACAACAACAGTCAAGTTCAATGATGGCACCAATATCCGTAATGCTACCGTCACTATCCCCATTACCTGGTACCAACAGCGAAGAGTCATCAGGAATAGCCACCTTGATACCAAGTACTACCACGACGCCCACAATGCCAGTCGTACCGGCACCACTGCCAACCACTTGCATACAACCACCCACGGTAGTCGCCACTGTACTCGAAGGCGAGACTCCTATGGACATCGATGAGACCATATCCATGTACTCGCCCGTTTACACTACCAAAGACGCTAAATCCCAGCTACTAATGCAGATACAGTCACGGCCAAATAGCCATTCATCACAATCACCACTCTCAGTCAGGAACTATCAGCAAATGCAAGTTTCCATGCCGAGTTTGAATTTGTTCGAACCGGTGGAACAGCTGGAGCAACAGCATGCCAGTCAGATCAACGGCAAGAGACTGAATCATGCGAGCTCGGTATCGCGGCAACAGAAAAGGCACAAATCACAACATGAGCAACTGTGCCAATCGTCGCAAGATTTTCCAACGTCTGCGTCGATCCAGGTCGAAGCAACGACCACATCCTCGCCATATCCTCATTTCGGCGACATCTCCTGGTCGAATTGTCACCCGGAGCCATTGGCAGTTAGTCGGTGGCTCCGTATCTCTTCCAGCCGCAAACAATACAACTTCAATATTCACTGACATAAGACCCCACCCACTCCGGGCTGAGGACCGTGTGCCGCGGGCGTCGTTTGTCTACCTCTTTATCTTCACGCGACCCTCTTTTTCTTCATCGTCGCCCACGCCATCATCCTAGTCATCGTCGCTATACAGTCGATGTTGCGTCCACAGCCCGTCGAGGGGGGAAGACTCTTATTTTCGCTATCATGTATGATTACTTCGCGCAATGAGATCAATTGTGATGTATCACTTTGGGCAACACTCCTGTCCAACTTGAAATGCGCAATATGATTTTTCACTATTAATATCGCGCAGCATGAATCTGTCAGACTCAGATCACGAATGCGCTGATTGCCGTGGAGCATCGAGATCGTGAAGAATTCTCGATCAACGGCCTATGATGATCGCGTATGTGGACGTGTACCTGAATTCACGGAACTCCATAAAAAGAAGAAACGGGTTGATGCTCTATTTCCGTTTATTTGCTGAATTTATAATGTAAAATAGATACAAAGAGATCAAGAGAGATAAACTGATACGAGAATAATTGAGAGCATGTCTCGATAACAGTGAATGAATGAATGCATAACAACATTGCGATATCATAATTTATACATAGAATCCTCACGGTTCCATCTACTACTGAGAGTTTTATTATACGGCTCATCACGTCGCAGAACATTCCTTCAGTCCTGTTTTCTTAACAACACGTGTCACGACTCTCTTACAGTGATTGCGGAAACGAATTTTTTATTAGATGATTTCGAAGTAATTTTCAAGGTAAGAGTTTATGTTTTGTATCAAGAATATTTCAGTTATAAATTGAGCGACCTTTGATTGTGGTGAAATCTTTCATTAGATCTTTCTATTAAAAATATAATTATGAAGTTGTTTAATATATATCTCGATTTTATAATCATAGTCAGGATTGAAAATGTTAAGCCCTACGATATTACAATTATTTTTAATACAAAGTTTATTTGCTGGGCTCTTTAAAGATTCAAAATATTCTTTTGACAGAGAAAAATATCATGATTTATGCAATATTCTTTATAATTTTTACATTTTGAACCAGATTGAACTTAATTAAATGAAAAATTAATAATTGCATATAGAATTTTACGAACGATAAAATTATAAGTACGCAATTGTTTTCACAGTGCATTTTTTACTGAATTGTGCATAAATTTTGTAAATAGATCGCAGATTATCTGTCCCATATTGTATATAGAAAAGCGTTTAGTATCTTCTATAGTTTTTGCATAGAAAAAAAACATTGACTTATTTCTTCATGATATAAACAGATTGTATATACATATAGTTGTACAATCTCAATTGTATATACATATATATACATATATATACATATATATATATATTTTTTATTGATCACGATCTCTTATCCCTTTTGCATATATACCTATACATATGTACTCTGAAAATACGAAGCGTCATTATTTAACGATATTTCCGCTTCTTTCTTTTTTACCGTTTTTGCCATAAGGATATAATAGAAATTGTAGCTCCGAGTGATTTATTTTTCAAGTTGGTTTCTACGTTACTTTGAATTTCACAAAACGAGAGATTTATAATGTAAATATAATATATAAAAGGGACAAATAGAATATAATCTCTTTCGAGTGAATTACATATATATTTCGATATATAAATTGAAGAGGTCAGTGGATGAAAATTCAAATAAAAAATTTCAGATTCGAATTCTCATATACGATAAATATCAGAAATGATAATTTATTTTTAAATGGAATGTTTTGATGAACCCATCATAAATTTATTTCATCTATTTGCCTTTTCACTAGTAATTTTGTATTCATTTCCGCTCATCAGTAAAAGTCCGCATAAATCTACGCGAACGACTATTGGCACGATCGATTATCGCACTGATTAAAGCGCTGGTAAAATGTCAGGTCTTTATCCTTCTTTATTCCTAGGATACAAAACGAACAAAATTTGTTATATTTGTATATAATTAAATATTATAGTGTAGGTGTGTTACTGTGTGTGTGTGTGTGTGTGTGTGTGTGCTTAATTGCTATATAATTATTGGATTGTGTCGCATGTGTCAAATGTATGATATAAATGAGAATTAAATTAATATATATGTTATCGTGTATAAATTAATATATATATATATATAGATTAATTTTATATATATTAATATATATATATATAGATTAATATATATATTATTGTATATAGATGAGAAATTTTCAAAAATCGATCGATAAATTTCTTTTCTACGACTCAGGCCTGTTTTATTTTTAGCGCTTCGTTTTTAGGACGATTGATCGATCGCTCCGAATAAATCGTAGGCGTATCATATAGGTTTGCACGCGGACCCAAGCAGACAGATTAGTGAGCTACACGATCCCGCTGTATTCACCCAAGACGATTATTTATTTTTGTACGTACTCGTTGATTTGCATCTCTGCGCACTGCAATTTTCCGACGGGTGAAGAACGCGCGGGTAGCTAGCGATGCGGCAAGACGCATATACGCGGATTTCTTATCATAGATTGTGATATTTAACTATTAATGATTAGTAAGATAATTGTAGATGTGTCTCTATATGTGTTCGGCGGCAAGGACGTAGCGCGTTCTATTCTTTTCCTAGTGGTAGACAACAGTGCATCTTGTGCGTAAGAGACGCTTTTTATACCGTCTCCCATCGATTTCGCCTTGTCAAGAAAAAAAAAAATTACTAATCCTACGGAGACAGTCTGCGTTGTTTCGCTTAGTTGTTGCTCGCATGAATAAACGAATTTCTTTATTGATAAACGTAGTAAAAAGAAAAAAAAATTGAGAAATGATTAAGATAAAAATTAGGCTAATTTGCGATAATTATTTGAAAAACGTCAAGGGGCAGAGGAATATGGAATGTATGCATGTGTGTATTTGTGTGTACGTGCGTTATATTATATTGAATGTAAACAAGCGCTGAATATCGTTACCGCGCAGTATAAAGCGATGCTTCACATCGTCGTTACTGATCCTCTCGGCTACCTGAAATCGTGATAACTTGTACATAAATCGTGTAAGCAGATAATTACTCGCGTATACCTACGAATATCAATTAGCCGCATAGCTGCATAAGGACGTATTACATATGATGTATATGCATCTGTGCAAATATTGCAGAGGGGGGGAGGAGGCATTCACTGGAACTCACAAACATTGAAACTCTAATTGCTTCACAGGCGTCTCACCTACGTAATTTCGTGTGCGTATAGTGCCGCATTTAATATTAGTTGTGATCCTTCTGATCCTTAGCGTCATCCACTTGACATAAGAATCGTGGAAATAATGAAAATTGCGACGTTCAACACTGAATGCGATTCTTTAATTCAGAGCTTCAGTCGCTCGATATTAACGTCAAATGAGAAACAGGCAGCTACAAATTTAGCCCAGTATGCGAAATAATACGAATCAACGAAATGTCGCGAAATGCTACGTTCATACGCGAAACGATACGGTTTCCTGTTTTCCTGAAAGCCACTTGTATGTACCACAGTTAGTGTTCATTGCTCGGCGCCTCACGATCGTATCAATGGATTATGAATCGGTCTCAAGAAACGATTCCGATAACAAACATTAAAGAATTTACTCTTTGGCTAATAGTGGCTCAACGATTGGAGGAGTCACGGATTTTTCACGTTATTGTCCAAGCTCTCATAGAGCAATAATACGATCCATGATCGATTTAGCAGCAATAATAATTTCGTTAACTATTATAAGAAACATGTTCGTTCATTAAGAAAGCGTATTCGTTTTCAAAAGTTCTTATACTCTTACAACCAGTAAAATGTAGAAAATGACCGGTGCTGAACATCTTCCTGAACTATATGAAAAAGGAAGAGATTGAAAGAGATTCATAGAAATTTATTTTCCAAAATTCCAATTAAGTATTATTTTGTATTAATTAAAATCATTAAATCTTTTCTTCACATATTTATTTTAACGGCTGAAAGAAAATTAAGACATAAATATATATATATATACATATATATATATGTTATCATTAAAATATTTTTTACATATATTTATGTCTTAATTTTGATATGTTACCAACTATCAGAAACGAATGGAAGAGAATAAAATTTTAATTTAACCCCGAATTCAAAATAGATTCCTATGAATTTCTTTTAATTTGCTTATTTTTTATAGAGACAAAACGCATTTGGAATAAGAAAATTTTATTTAATCCTGAAAAAGAGAAGGGAACAAAGAGGAGAGAGAAATGAGAGAGGCGACAATTGTATTTTTCTTCGACTCGACTCCCCCTTGCTTCGTCAGCGCGCACGCGGCACGAAACGACTAGTATTTTAATTAATTCTAACGAATCCGCGTGAAACTGTGGTGCGGTGAATTGATACACGGTAGAATGATAAATTGATTGAAGACTGAATATATATCGATGAGATCGGGAGGACTTATTCGGCGAATTAGATTGCCGTGACTTTTAGCGAATTTTTCTTTTTATAGATTCTTCAAATATAGCGCGTATAACGTTCACTTAATTTCCGACATATCGGTATAATTTCTTTAGCATATTGTTAAAACGTGTGCACGTTACCGTTATAAAAAATTGATAGTTGATTTATTTCTCTTTGGCACTGTAATTTCACGTGGAAGAACTAAAAAAGGGACACTCTGACGTCAAGTTTATCGCAAAGCAAGATATTTTGTGGCATTTAATTTAAATATATGTTTTATATTTATTTGTAAATTGATTTTTTATTTGTTTACCTTATATAATCCCATTCGCAGGTTTATTGTCTTTTTTTCTATTCATACATGTGCTGGATAGAGAAATTTTCATGTAAGAAATAGATATGGCGAAGAAGACTCATACAAAATCTGCATACATTATCTGCGTATTGTCACTTATCACATATCATTGTAAATATTATGCGATATTCCTATTATGTCGTATTATCTATGTGTTGTAACAATTATTCGATAATTAACGCGGCATATATAATTAACAAATATTTGAAATTGCATGTCATTTTGTAATTTCACTATCTATTATTGATGTGTAAATTTTATTAACATTGTTCATTAAATTAAAGACATCAGTGATATTTATATGATATAACGTTCATTATAATGTGTCATTAAAAAAAATTTTTTTTATTAAAATTCTAATATCATATAAATATTATAAATAAATTACTTTATGAATGCTCTATAAGAATTCTAAAGAATAAGTATCTCTGCAATATTTTTTTCGTTATCATAAGTGTAGCACTTCATTTTTTTTATAATGGAAATTTAATCTCAAATTTAATGTAATTTTTACATCAAATATAATTAAATTTATGAAAGTTATAAACGATAAGAATCTTGAATAAAATTTTATTTAGTAAAAATCAATATATTAAATTAGCTAAAAATTTTTTCGAGACTGGAATACTGTTACTGGCATACATTATTTTCGGGATACTCTAGGTCGTTGCCTCCGACTGAAACATGCATACTTTTATTATTCCATTTACGCATCGTCGAAGTTACGTAAATGGACGGAAAGACAGTTGACTGACCAAGAAAATGCAATATCTTAAAGGAAAATTGAATGTCAACTATGACTATAAAAAATATGTTTTAGAAAATGAAAGATTACGTGGTGGTTCTATGTAATACAATCACCGGTAAAAAATCAAACTTAATGTTGTTCGTTATTTACTTTCATTTATCATCGCGATATTTTGTTATTGTAATAAATACGATTTTCGACATGTAGCAGAAAGTTATTCGTCTTTTGAAACCAAACGACGGTTGCTCTATAAAAAGAAAACAATTCTAT